AAACCCACTGAGAGAGCGTTAGAAGAGCAGCTTCACAGACGCATTGGACTAAGAAGAGCGAAATTATCTGCTCTTACCAGTAAAAGCAAGGCCATTGAAAAGTTGATGATTGATGAGGAAAATCTGCAGAATGTACAAGAGTTGATGCAACTTGACTTTGCACAATTGCTTACCGAGTTTACGGAGTTAAATTTGCAAGTTCAAGATATTTTGCCTGAAGATGAAAAGATTGCAGATCAACAAAATTGGTTTCCGCCTAAAATGGATTCCCTGAGACTTTTTGAAAATAAAACAGAAAACTGGATAGCTGCTGTTGGTGATAAAAAAGAACAAAATGACTATTTTGATATGGAGGATGATGTTAGTCCTCACGACAGTGCCTCACAGGTATCTGTGAACAAGAGTGAATCTAATTCAGAGCATGATTCAGATGTTGAAAGTGGATCAGTTTCCTCCTCAGTATCATCAGCTTGTGCACGAGAAGAATCAAAACGTGCAGCTCTGCTAGCAAGGGCAGCGTCCCTAAAGAAGAAACAACAACTTGAAATTGAAAAGATGCAGCTCAGAGTAAAAATGGAAAAACTTGAAACTTGAAATGCTCTTGCAGAAAGCAATGCTAAATTAAAGGTCTTGAAGGAGTATAAACGATCAGATGAAAGATGAAGCAGCGTACCATCTAAGCCAAGAAGGGGAATCCACCAGAAGCAATCAGAGCTGAAAACAGAGCAGAGTAATGATTCACCAGGTCATTCATCTGTGGGGAAAAGTAAAATGAAGGCCATCTCAAATCCAGTGTTACTTGCACCAACATTAGACACATCAGGAGCCACAGGCCACAGTAATCGTCAAGCAGATGACAGCATTATTCAAATTATGCAGAAGCAAAATGACTTGACTGAATTGCTTGTGAAACAGACAGGCCACAAAGCAGATGACAGCATTATTCAAATTATGCAGAAGCAAAATGACTTGACTGAATTGCTTGAATTGCTTGTAAGACAAATTCAGCTTCCAAGTAAAGACATCCAAGTGTTTACTGGTGATCCACTGACTTTCAAATCCTTCATCAGGTCCTTTGAACATACCATAGAACACAAGATAGACAATGAAAAAGACAAGTTATATTACCTAGAACAATACACCGTTGGAGAGCCACAAGAGATCGTAAGAAGCTGTGAAAATATGCCATCAAGCAGAGGTTTTAAGGAAGCAAAACGATTGCTCCAAAGGCATTATGGAGATGAGCTAATCATAGCAAGTGCTTATATTGATAAAGCTTTAAAGTGGTCTCAGATCTGATACAGAAAGGTATTGTGCGTACTTTTAATCGTCTGCAAGCAGTTTGTGCATTGATGGAATTTAGATGGCTGAAGAGGGAGAGGACGTTGCAGTTTTTGAACACAAGAGGGCGCCTAAACCCACTGAAAGAGCGTTAGAAGAGCAGCTTCACAGACGCATTGGACTAAGAAGAGCGAAATTATCTGCTCTTACCAGTAAAAGCAAGGCCATTGAAAAGTTGATGATTGATGAGGAAAATCTGCAGAATGTACAAGAGTTGATGCAACTTGACTTTGCACAATTGCTAACCGAGTTTACGGAGTTAAATTTGCAAGTTCGAGATCTTTTGCCTGAAGATGAAAAGATTGCAGATCAACAAAATTGGTTTCAGCCTAAAATGGATTCCCTGAGACTTTTTGACAAGAAAACAGAAAACTGGATAGCTGCTGTGGGTGATAAAAAAGGCCAAACTGACAATTTTGATATGGAGGATGATGTTAGTCCTCACGACAGTGCCTCACAGGTATCTGCGAACAAGAGTGAATCTAAAAAGAGGCATGATTCAGATGTTGAAAGTGGATCAGTTTCCTCCTCAGTATCATCAGCTTGTGCACGAGAAGAATCAAAACGTGCAGCTCTGCTAGCAAGGGCAGCGTCCCTAAAGAAGAAACAACAACTTGAAATTGAAAAGATGCAGCTCAGAGTAAAAATGGAAAAACTTGAAATAGAAACAGCTCTTGCAGAAAGCAATGCTAAATTAAAGGTCTTGAAGGAGTATAAACGATCAGATGAAGGCAGAAGCAGCGTACCATCTAAGCCAAGAAGGGGAATCCACCAGAAGCAATCAGAGCTGAAAACAGAGCAGAGTAATGATTCACCAGGTCATTCATCTTTGGGGAAAAGTAAAATGAAGGCCATCTCAAATCCAGTGTTACTTGCACCAACATTAGACACATCAGGAGCCACAGGCCACAGTAATCGTCAAGCAGATGACAGCATTATTCAAATTATGCAGAAGCAGACTTTATTGACTGAATTGCTTGTGAAACAGCAAAGACAAATTCAGCTTCCAAGTAAAGACATCCAAGTGTTTACTGGTGATCCACTGACTTGCAAATCCTTCATCAGGTCCTTTGAAAATACCATAGAACACAATATAGACAATGAATGGGGAAAAGTAAAATGAAGGCCATCTCAAATCCAGTGTTACTTGCACCAACATTAGACACATCAGGAGCCACAGGCCACAGTAATCGTCAAGCAGATGACAGCATTATTCAAATTATGCAGAAGCAAAATGACTTGACTGAATTGCTTGTGAAACAGCAAAGACAAATTCAGCTTCCAAGTAAAGACATCCAAGTGTTTACTGGTGATCCACTGACTTGCAAATCCTTCATCAGGTCCTTTGAAAATACCATAGAACACAATATAGACAATGAAAAAGACAAGTTATATTACCTAGAACAATACACCGTTGGAGAGCCACAAGAGATCGTAAGAAGCTGTGAAAATATGCCATCAAGCAGAGGTTTTAAGGAAGCAAAACGATTGCTCCAAAGGCATTATGGAGATGAGCTATTCATAGCAAGTGCTTATATTGATAAAGCTTTAAAGTGGCCTCAGATGAAGTCTGATGATGGTAAAGCTTTGAGTCCATATGCTCTGTTCCTGATTGGTTGTCGGAATACAATGGAAGATGGAGAGTTCATGGAGGAAATGGACAATCCTACCAATAGGAGAGTTATACTTTCAAAGCTACCATACAAGATGAAAGAAAGGTGGCGATCAGAAGCTTACGACATCAAAGAGCGACAAGGAGTAAGAGCAAGATTTACTCATTTAGTTGACTTCATTGATCGTCAAGCTAAAGTGGCCATGGACCCTCTCTTTGGTGACATACTGGACCATCGCAATGTTGTAGCAGCAAAGGTGAATCAGAAAGAGAATTATCCTACTAAAAAAGGAGCCATAAAGAGCAGCTTTGCAACCAACATTTGCATGGAGGAAAGAAGTCCTCAAATTGTGTTAAGGAAACAGGTCAGTCCCCCCCAAGAGCCTCAGTGCCTTTGAAAAACCATGTATGTTTTGTACAAAGGATCATGCTCTAGAGTCATGTAGTGAAATAAAAGAGCAGCCACATTAGGTACGTGTGGAGTTCCTGAAGTCTAAAGGCTTATGTTTTGGATGCTTAACTTGAGGCCATCTTAGCAAGACTTGCAAAAAGAGAATGGAATGTAAAGAATGTTCCCAAAAACACCCAGACATTCTACACATTAAGGAGAACCAAAAAAGTACAAAAGAGGTTGAAACAAAAGACCAGAAGATCTCATGTGCCCAAGTCTCCCTTAACCACCAATCAAGTGAGAACCACTGAAAGAGCGTTAGAAGAGCAGCTTCACAGACGCATTGGACTAAGAAGAGCGAAATTATCTGCTCTTACCAGTAAAAGCAAGGCCATTGAAAAGTTGATGATTGATGAGGAAAATCTGCAGAATGTACAAGAGTTGATGCAACTTGACTTTGCACAATTGCTAACCGAGTTTACGGAGTTAAATTTGCAAGTTCAAGATCTTTTGCCTGAAGATGAAAAGATTGCAGATCAACAAAATTGGTTTCAGCCTAAAATGGATTCCCTGAGACTTTTTGAAAAGAAAACAGAAAACTGGATAGCTGCTGTGGGTGATAAAAAAGGCCAAAATGACAATTTTGATATGGAGGATGATGTTAGTCCTCACGACAGTGCCTCACAGGTATCTGCGAACAAGAGTGAATCTAAAAAGAGGCATGATTCAGATGTTGAAAGTGGATCAGTTTCCTCCTCAGTATCATCAGCTTGTGCACGAGAAGAATCAAAACGTGCAGCTCTGCTAGCAAGGGCAGCGTCCCTAAAGAAGAAACAACAACTTGAAATTGAAAAGATGCAGCTCAGAGCAAAAATGGAGGAACTTGAAATAGAAACAGCTCTTGCAGAAAGCAATGCTAAATTAAAGGTCTTGAAGGAGTATAAACGATCAGATGAAGGCAGAAGCAGCGTACCATCTAAGCCAAGAAGGGGAATCCACCAGAAGCAATCAGAGCTGAAAACAGAGCAGAGTAATGATTCACCAG